TAATACATGGGATGAGAATTAACAAACACTAAAACTGTCCTGAAACTTTAAAGGACTGTACTTAACGGTAACGGGTAACTTCGGTATCTTTTAACCTATCTTTCCCATGTTTTTGTGTCAAAGTGACTAACAGGGACAAGTTTTGAATTTGCTCCATTATCGAGGGAGAGCACTGCAGCCGTGAAACAGCTGTGACCACAATATTGACATATTATGATGGATTTATTTGTAAACAGTTGCATATTTACACGTCCAGCAAACAAGAGAGCAACAGTAGCATTTAATTGGAGTTGTGTTGCTGGCCACCCGATGAATGCAAGCCCAATATTCACTCTTTTAGCTCTGTTTTTGGTCTGTACCAACTCCTGGGAGGGAAATCTCTGGCTCTTTAGCTGCTAAATTCTTCATTATGTTCACCAGCTAGTTGCTAACTGTGTCTGTCTGCCAACTAGTGCTGAGCAGGTAAAGTCTGTGAGTTACTAGAGCTTTTCACTAGAAACACCCGCCTGCTGCAGCTGAAAATGGCACTATGAGAGCAGTAAGAATAAGCCAGAACAGTAGATTTACACAAAGCAAAACCATGTTAGTTACAAAAGTGTACCTTCTGAAAGTGTCAAAGACCACAGAGTCGTCACAGTTAATGGCATCTGGGTGGTTTGGTGGCAGGCACACATCTCCCAACTGCATCTCATAGCAAGGGATCCCATGGTGCACCACAGTAAGGCTCGGATAGAAGGAAGACCACCCTGAAAAACACAGATGGTAAATTACAGAATAATTTGATCATAAAGCTGGTTGTATTAAAAAAATAAATAGCTGGCATTTGGTAAACAACATTTGGTCAGTGGAAGCATCCGTTGGCAAAGACTACTTTCACATATTGCTATAAAATCTGTTTTGGAGATCATTTTGCTTTTGTTTCTTGCCAACAAAGCTGACATTTATTTTAGTTGATATTTTTTACCTGTTTTGAACAGAATCTAAGAATTGTTCTTATTTTACCTTTATTTTTGACAAAAAATGGGTGATCCAATCGGCATTCAGCTGTTAACAGGCCATCATCAGGTGAGCCAGGGTCAAAGGTCAGTTTAAGAACTGCCTGGCTAAAAGACACCGTCTCTTCATGGCTCACCAACTTCAGCCCATCTGAACCATATCTCTGTAAATGAAACAAAAGACCAATCAGAGGACTCTTTACTCACCCGCAAGATGACCTAGTTAAACTTACCACCAAAGAGGAATTGGTGTGAATACAACATGGTGCCTGACTGCCTGAACACTTGGTTTCTATGATACAAAATGAGACCACTAATACAAATCATCAAAGATGTAATGTGGTTGAAAACTGTGCACTCACTTCCTGTACCTCCACTGCTGCCACCTTGTGGCCAATAAAAGTCAGTGTAATGTCACTGAACAGAAATCATGCACTCATCTAGTCAACAATGCAGCAATACTAAACACACGGTGTACACAGCTGGAAAGCATCTCAGAGTAAAGGAGGTTAATATAATATATTCTTAAGACAGACTAAACTCAGTATTTGTTGCCGACCTTATGTGAAGAGGACGACGGCATCATGGTTTCATCATCTGAGTCTTCATCAGAATCCCCGAGTTCATCAGCTTCCTGCCACTCCACATTAGGCCCTCGATGGAAGCGGAGGCGAGTTCCTGAATATCAACAGCACAAGGTGACATGATTAATAAGCAGATGTGTGTTTGTACTGATCAGACCATTCTGGAAAATGGATGCAATACTGCTGTTTGGACACCTGAGGTCAGAATTTCTTTACAAATGTTTGTAATTCATGCTTTTCCTGGTGAAGGGAGGATCCTTTCACAAAAGTGTAAATGAAATAAGTGTGTCAGCATCTCTACAGCTGTCTTGATTGCATGTGTGGTTTGAGAGCAGAGCAGTTAATGTTTTGACCATATAAATCACAGGTTTATTCACAAACATATTAAAGAGAACATTTTATTTTATTTAAACATTACTAATGTAAACATGAATACATTTAAGAAAATATGAATGAATGACGTTACTGTTTTCTAATGGAGAGTACGTGTTTATGCTAGACTGATCCGTGCCTTTGAGCTGTGAAGCAAAATTCTCCAAAACATTTTTTCTTTTCAAGAAATTCTTAGAATAGCTTAACGTTAACCTCATTGTGAGTGAGTGAGTGAGTGAGTGAGTGAGGGGAGGGGAGGTGTAAGTGTCTGCGTGTGCAATGATAGATGCATACAGTGTGTACATGAGTGTGTATGTATGTACCTTTAAGGAAGCAATGCCAGGCTGTGGAGGGCCAGGAGTGAGACCAGGCCATGTCTTCATCATCAGAAAATGATGAGGACATTGAGAAAACTCCAGACTCAGATTCACTGCTGGCCTGTTGTAATAAATTAAAGTAAAATGAACTATTTCAGTATTCATGTCACACAGAACTTACAAAGAAAGTATCACTGGGTCAACAGGAATGGATGACTCATTGGTTTTCAGAGGTTGAGGTTGGAAGTGAAAGGTTACCCTGACACGTCTGCGCTCCCTGAGGTGGCCTCTGGACGGGTTGGGTGCGCTACTGGCCAATGGGGGACGAGCGTAGGAATGTAAACTATTACTGTTGCCAAAGATGTGGACTGGAGAAGATCTGAAAACAACGTCGTAAACATATATCATGGTCATAAGTGCACACAAGAGTGACGCTGTATGTTTTAAAATATTTATTGATCAAGCAACAACACACGATTATTTAACCAGGTTTACTGTCAGCTTCTCTCTGAGTTTATGTCACAAGTATGCCCACATCAACCTAAGCTGATTTTCATTCTAGTTCATAATGGTACAAACCTCTTATGTGGGGCGTTCTTCAGCAGGGGGCTCTGAGGACTGGTGGCTATGTTGGCCAGTTCAGCGAGCCAGTTGGTGCTGGGGGAGCAGCTGAGTTCCTGGTGAGACACTCCGGCTCCAACCTGAAATAACCCTGGAGACCTCTGGTCCTCCTCCACCTGCTGCAGCTCTGGCATGTCATCTGGGGGGAGGTCAATGGTAATATTCATGATTAATATGTGAACAATGGTTTTTTGTTTTCTTAAATATAGAACGGGACTTCTTCCTGGTTTCAATTTTTACCATAATCCATGTGACACCCAGGTGAGGAAGGCAGGTCCTCGTTACACTTGAGTGGATCAAAGGACTCGTCCATTCTCAATATGTTCGGCTGTTTCCTTTTTATGTAACAGGCTTCTGGTCAATTTACTGAGCTTCCATCATCTAAATATGCTGCATCAGCTGGTTATAGGTCAAAAAAGAGAGACAAAGAATGAGGGCTTTCACAAACAAATTAAACTATTTACAGTTCTATTTACGGGGTTGTTTCAATCAGACATTTCATCATGAATGAAAATGTTCTCTTTGTAACTGCATACTTAAGTCTGAATATATAAGTCTAATATACTTAATCCGTCGAAATAAAAACCAAAATGTTATCATTGCAAGACGTGCCGTGTATTGCTCCGATATAATGGTAAAGGTAGGCAGCCTTTCGTGAATCCTTTGTCTCTGAATCCACACAGTACACCTCTGTGACTGGTCATGTGACCCGCTGCGTGGAGGCCTTGTTTATAAACTTAAAAGGACTTCGCGCATGCGTACCAGAGCTCATTCATTCATAACTGCGTAGCAAAAGTGATAAATCGCATAAATTCGTTTAGAAAAGTGACGTACAGAGCATCGAAAAGGCGAAGCTGAAGGAAATGTGAAAGAATATCTCTGACAGAGTAAAACATTTCACGCTGATTTGACAATTATGGAGGTATTTTTCGACGCACAAAGTTAAAAATTAAAAAAAAGGTTTAAAATATAAAAGAACCTGTGAACAACAAACTAATGCGTTGGTTAACGACGAAGAACTAACGGTTGTTTGCGTTGTGACAACGGATCAACGGTCGCTGCAGGCTCTGGCAGACCGTTGCTTCGACTTCGCATACGCGGATATACCAAAAACAACCCGTTAATAAAAACCTTTTAATAAGTTTCATCGAGCCCCAAAAGAAACTTCGAATGATAGCCCTACTGGTTCCCCACTCCTCAAAAGCAACAGCAGTGTCCTGGTTAAAACCCAGAGGTTGTCGGGTCTAATACTGTAAACAAAAGAATGTCAACAAGTTGAGGCATGACGCAACCTCTCTGCCCCGTTCAAAATGAATGACACGAAAACCCCTACAAGCCTTTTGACGACACTTTCTCACTACTCGAAGCACTTTTTTACTGAAAAACACACCGAACTACAGTCGGATGGGCTTGTTATCACCAAAACAACAAGCGTCACGGAGAGAAAAAAAAACATTGTCGAGCCACAATCTGTCATTCGACATCAAATAAACGCGTGACAACCCCGATAAAATACCACGTTGGGATTGCAAAGACGCGTATCACGCAACGCTCAAGTTAAAAATGAGTTAAAACCTTTAATTTCTTCGAAAGAAAGTAGTCAACTTCCCACTTACCTAACCTGTCGCCATCGACAAACTCTCTGGCATTCGCTCGAGGGGTGGGGATGAATGTTTTAAGAGAAGGCTTCCTATTGGTGGATGGCAACGTCAAAAACAAGAATCCGGCTATTCTATTGGTCGATACGGTGGATAAAAATATCGAAGGTGGGGCTTAGTTTGTTGATCATCGTATCATTGGATGAAAGTCCATGCCTGTTACTTACCCAGTAACAGCTGATTGGCAATAACAGGAACAATACATGGTTATTTTTTTATCTGCAATGTTGCAACTGCAGCAAGAAGTACTTATTCACATTGCTTTCTAGATTATTTGTTATTTTTCCGTCTCATTAACTGTTTTACCTTTTCACTAGAGAATTTAGTGAATGAACAAATGGATGACTCCGACTAAAAAATGAATGAATGGTGAACGAGTGACTGAATGAAAGTGTGCTATTAATTTGTTGTAACAAACGATTATGTGACACGCAAATATAAAAATGTTCTTTATTGACATGAAAAGTGAAACATACAGTACTTTCCAACCAGTATTATGGGTTTGCCTTCAAAAATGACCAGTACTATTTGCACAAAGGGGGGAAATAAATTCATAATGTTTAAATGTTAAACCAGCTTTAAACAATTTAAGCTGCAGTAAACCACAGACAAAATACAGAAGACTTCAATTATTATTTTTCAAAAGAGAGAGAGAAGAAGAGAAAGAGAGAAGACCCACTTCCTGTGATTCCTGTTGAGAGGGAACATCAGAATATGTGTTTCCAAACAGTATAAGTTGTTGGCAGAGGTAGACAGCAATAATGGATGTCATAATCATAATATATGTTTCACCGACACAAAAACAGTATGACTTAAATTTTACATTAAAAAAAACACAGGAAAAGCAACTGTCTCGAGACATTGCCTATAATGGCTACAGTCTAGTAGGGGAACTTATTAAAATGATGGGCCTATATAATAACAGTAAATACTCAGTTTCAAATTGTACAGCAATGGGTTGTATATTCTTACAAAACTATCAGCTATCTCTCTGAACTTTTTTTTCTTTTTTTTTGCAAAAGCATAGTATTAGGCTAACAGCCACAAACACTAACCAACAATGATATACAGTTATGAACATGTATTCAAGGGATTAAATGTTATGGTAAACAGAAGTGTTTTGTAAAAATGTTACTGCCAAGTCTACATTCTGTTGTGATCAAAATGTGAAAGATGTTATTCAAACACAGAATCAAATCAACTTCCTTTACAAATTGTTTATCCTTTCTGATGTTGGGTCCACTCTTGTACCAGTGCACTTCAGTGCTGTGAGTGTTAGTGCTGTTGCCAAAAATGACAATAGAATGTGGCATATTTGCTCACAATTATCCAGTAAGAAATTAGCTTTGGCATCTGATTTGAACAAACAATGTTTAGAAATTTACAAATGATATTATACTGTAGGTTTAACTATAACACTGTGGATAAAAGGTGAGAGTTAACAAAAGTGTTCAGTATACAAACATAATAATGTGTCTAACACTGACAAGTAAAATGTACACATACATTTTTAAGGTTAGAGTTGTGAGAAATCTAATTTAAACAACCTTTAAGCACTGCTTTGGCTTACTTTACTTTCATCATAACACTGCTAAAATTAACCTTGTCTCATATGGGAATCTGACGTAGTCGGTTTCATTTATCTGGCACACAAATGTTGTAGTGGATATTCACATTTCTTGTAAGAAAAGCTGTTTAAGTGATTATGGGGGAAAAACATCCGTACAAGCCTTTTTTTTTTCTTTTTCATCCACTGGTTCATGGTCCATTGGATCCGTCCTTACACACTTTGTTTCTCAATCTCAGTGGTACTTCCAAACAAGGTCACCAGCTGCTCCTCATAGTTAGCAATGTTTCTCTTCATGATGTCCATGCATGGGCCCAGCAACCTCTCGAAGGCTTTAACATCAATGACTGACAAAAAAAAAAAAAAAAGAACAGAGGAGTCAGACATAGTTTGTGTAATGTAAATAATAATACTAATATAAAATATACATGGTGGACATATGAATGATCCTAAAATTGCACAAAATGTACCCAAGCATTTGACGCTCCCCACAGCATACGCTGATGCAGCTCTGGGCTTGTTTGTGACAAGTGCCAACTCCCCAAAATACTGGCCCCTAGAGCATGTGGCGATATCCACCTCCTCTTCCTCCTGGTCTTTTTTCGTCTGGCAAACAAAGAAAGAGATGCACATTATTAGAGCCCAGAAAACCTCAATGTGTTTTTTCTTTGTCAGAAGGTTTTGTACATTTAAGAATTTATGGTAGACAAGGCGAACATACCCTGCTTCTTTTCATGGTGATTCTAACTTGGCCAGACTCAACAATGTAGAAGCAATCCGCTAAATCACCCTGTAATACAAAGAATTCATGTCATAAATGAGCACACAAAAACTCATTTAACAACTTTACAGTACATGCTCCATTGCAGCAGAAAATAAAAATACCAATTGTAGAACAGATTGTGCAAAGAGATTCTTCACCTGAGCAATAATCTGCTGTGAATCACTGTACACCTTGGTGGATATTACGTCTACTACCTTCATTCTCTCTGAGAGCTGTGGATGGAAAGATATGTGGTTGACAATGGTTTCACTGTAAATGCATACGGCACTTTCTTAGCGCTAGAGGATAAAGCTAATATTAACCTCTAATGACGTAAGCAGTGGTAGTGTTTCAATGAATGCCTCATACAGCTTCCTCTTCTTGGCATTGTTCTTCACTATGATCCTCCTGAATGTCAGACGATCCTGAAACACAGATTTAATGAAAAGAAAAACATTCAGCTTCATGTTTAAAGACACGGTGTAATTCTTTCTCTCTCCTTGTGTTGTTATTTATAGACGACAAATTAAAGGAAAACCCTGAATGAATGAGTGGCAAAACATGACAAATGCTGATGCTTTCATACGGCACACAAGATATTATTGAATGGTTGGATGAGAATGAAAATAATGGGAATCAACTGAACACCTATGGGAGAATGGGGAGTGTTCCAGAGGGAGGTTTGAGTTGGTTTTTCCTTTAAACAGTTCCTGTTCCTGTAAAATGTAAAAAAAAGTTACAATATTTTTAAGAACTGTTCTTAAACTCAGCTTTGAATACATAACAGATTAATAATAATAATAACACAAATAATACACATAATAGAGAATGACTCCAGGATCCCCAGAAAGTGTGGCGTCACCATAGTTATTTATCCTGTGCTTGTCTTCCCTGCACTCATTAAAAGTCAGGGTGACTATACGTAGTAATGCTCATTTGCATTTTCTCTACAGTTTCTATTGACTATTCTGGCGCCCTTTCACCAAACAATAACTCATATGAAACAACATTTTGCAGTAGGGGTCGCTGCAAAGCAGAATTTTAAGTCAGTTCTACAAACCATAACATCACTGAGGATATTTCAAGCAGCAGTACCCAAGCGCTCATGTCATTCTGCTGCTTTTAATAAACCTTTAGAAATCTCTTCAGTTGTATGAAATTTCAGCAGGGAAATATACAGTTTAGACTCAAATAATCTCTAGCGACATGTTAGTGGTAGATTGTTACATAATGTACTGTAGGAAACATAAGCAGCCGCCTGCGGCGCCCTCTAGCGGAAACTTTTCTTTCCCACCCAAACAAGCAAACACGGCTCTGACCTTGTTTTAAAGTGGCCAGTAGAGTCTGTCCTGGGGCCTAGAATACTGTAGCTAAATATCATGGCTGCCACAAAGTTTACTGCATACAAGCCAGAACTTCAATTAAAACTCCTACTATGGATAACTATTTGCTTCGAGGCCCTTCAGCAGACCTCAGGGGATTGTTGGTTGAACAGGACCGTCTGCTTGTTCACAGACTCAAGCACGCACTACAAGTACCCAGGTCAACTGGGGATACAGCTGCAACCTGCCCGGTCTGCACACAGATGACATAACAAAGCTGTTACCCACAGTTTTAGGACACAACCCTCACTGATTCATTAATAAACAAGCTTCCGCACTGAAAGAGTAGCAACTGAATGCTCACAACAGCTGTTCTATTAAGTGGATACTGTTTAACAAAATACCATTTTACTTTTAGATATCAGAGTCATGTAGGGAATATAATTGTTCTCACCTTGACTTGAGCGGGCCTCAAAATAGGACTGTATTGACATTTGTAAATATTCTTTTGTCATACTGAGTTTGCACATTCATTAGCTTCAATATATACATTAATAATAGGGGCATGATAAATGCTCTCTCTTTTTGCTGCATTTACTGGGTTCTGTACAGTATGTTATCTCAGTCAGACAACATTATATAACCTTTGGTACAAGGTACCAACACTGCCGCAGACAACCTGGATATTTACTGTAAATCATGACAACTGACAGCACAGCGTGTTATAAAAACCTGAGCACGGAGCCAACTGTGCTCTTGCATGAGGATTTAATGGTTTACTCACTAGGCACCAAAGGGCTCCAGGCGAGGTGGCGATTATTGTGGCTGCTCTGGGGGTGTTGTACATCAGCGCCAGTTCTCCAAAGCTGCCCCGGTTGTCGTAGCAGCCTACCAGCTTATCTGTGCCGTCAACCTTCACGAAAATGTTATAGGTCCCACTGAATGAAAATGCAAAGGAAAAATAGACAATCAAAGAAAATAGACAGACATGACAGCCATATTGGTGTCTCCTGAAATCTTATAGACAGCAGGAAACATTAATTGATATACTGTATGTGATTCAAATATAATAAGTAACTAATGTTGTGAAAGCGATGCGAAAGATCACCTTTCAATAACATAGAAGTTGTCTCCATCATCATCCTGATCAATGATGTGCTCCCCTTCAGTGCAGAACTTCTCAAACATGGCATCCAGCACTTGTGATATCTCTTCCTGTTAAGGTGTGAAATATCAAGTCAAATATGAATTTTTATAAATATATGACTTTCACTTGCAGAATCTAGTCAGCATGCTGTTTCAGCTACTTCAAAATAACCATCTTTTAAAATCATGCATAGTGCACTGAGCTGTGGCAAAAAGCTGCTGGCCTCAGGCCACGTTTTCCTTTGTGTAATTTAAAAGATGGCCAAGCACAAACCAGAGCAACTCACAGTGCTTATGGAATAATCCACTCACCGGATCCAAATTCTTGAACAGAAGAATGTCCCTACATGCTTCCTGTAGTCTCTGTCTCTGCTCATCGGTTTTTGGGTGTGTGACCTGCAAATTGAAGCACACGTCTTGTGACATGATCCTCTGATTGCCTACACATTAAAGTGCATACAGAAGACTTTATAATGTTGATTGTTTAATTCAGACTCAGAGCTATAGTTCATACTGTTTAAAAGAATCAACCTCAATATTAAGAAAGAATCTTTGGGGTATGAAACACAGTTTACCCATGGCTCTTTTTCCTCCTCATCTTCATCAGGATTGAAAGCTTCAGCACACACTGCATGACAGAGATCGACAAATGAATGAACTGGACACTCACTACCAGACAGCAAATTTATCCAGCACTTCATAATTCTACCAAACCCTTTTTAAAAGACAGAGCCTTTGGAAACAACATTTTAACTCAAACACTAAAGAATAAGGCTTCATATTAAAGTGGGACAGCAACACAACTTTCATCCCAGTCTAATAACAAAAGCCAAATCTCATGGATGATTTAGCAGCATTTCAAAGCAATATATCTTTCAATAAACACAACTTTTATCATCTCATTTGAGGAGCTTTGGGGGAATGCAGTGATTGTGGTGACACGTATACCACATTTCCTTCCTGTATTTTAACGGCAGGATACGGTCAAAACAAACCGTTCTTCAACTTTAATTAACCTAACTTCTTCAGGACGAAAATTTATAAAATGCTTTATATTTCAATTCACAAATGTGGGGAAATGTACTTTGATTCTGTAAAAACATAATGCTTAAACCCCTGACATTTCATTCTTTCCCTTCAGACTGCCACACATGATATCAGTCCTAATACGGCTAAGTTACTCTTGTAAAGCTACAACCGTACTATTATGATGAACAAGTGGTTATTATTAGTACTTGTCCTGATCTCCCCATAACCAGGTTTGATAAAAAGTGGTTTCACAAACTCCAATAAATCAACACCATTATAATAAGCTGAAGACAGTGAGAAAACACAGATGGAAAAGCACTTCAATACTGCTTGCACTGGAGCAAATCTGACGTAGCCTCAGTATTCATGTGTCAAAGAAGTTTTATATGTTTCCAACAATGACAGTGTCCAGAGTTTTCCTCTTGACAGAACAGCCTTAAACAGCCAGCAAATGACAACTCACCTGATGCTCTTCTGATGAATCTGTTTATTACCGGGGCTGCAGAAGAATAAAACAACATATATTAACATGGTAAATGTCATCATAAAGTAAATCTATCTTACAGTAACTCAATCATTGCTGGAAAGGGTTAGATTAATGCACTGTGCTGCTACAGCAGTACATGTAATGGAGCATACCCAGCCCTGTGCTCATTAAGGATCCATATTCATTTGGGTAAAACCTGAATAAGGACAGCTGCTTTGAAGTGCGTTTGCCTCTTTCAATCAAATGTAAATGAGAAAAATGAAATAAAATGTAAAACAGCAACAACAAAAAAAGTGCCAAGCTCCAGCACAATAGCACAGTATGAAATATACATTAGATAGGAGGTCTCATCCATTAATAGCCAGCAAGCAAGTGTTTTCCGAGGTAGCTCATTGAAATATCATTAAGACAAGGCACTGGGGGGTATGATGGGGCGCAATAGGACCTAAAAATACTACAATAGTTAAATGACTGAATATGGTGTACTTGTCCTTATGTAACCATTGCAGCCAGCCCTTGCAGACCCCACCACTCATTGGGATGCTGTGTCAGAGCTCTGGGTTGCTATGCTACTTGCTGCACCTTATGGCAATACTGCACCGGCCATTGTGTTAAATATGACCGCCGTTTAGGAGAGACAAATCAATCTGGGACGGTTTAAGTCTTATTTTACTTGCATCATAGCAGAGATTGAGTTTTTTTATATATGTATTTTCTTTGTCATATTTTTGACACATAATGAGGGTAGGCCCATCAGGCCTACACCTGAAACAGAAAATATTTAAATGACCTAGAGGTGCAGGGTCTTCCTTAAAAATAAAAAAACAGTCACACTGTCCTTTTTTCTGCAGCTGATGTGCCTTAAAACAAAGCCTTATCACAAAAAAAACGTGTCTGCATAGATGGAGAGCAAGACACGTTCATTAACCATTATTCAGCCTCCGTGACCATATATGGCAAATGACAGAGCCGTGGTGGATGCAAGGTGGCGAGCGCTGGAGCATCACTGCGCCCAATGTGTGTCTTATTCTCCCCCACTGAACAGCAGCCCCGCACACGGCGATACATACATGCTCATAAATCTAAATACATTTTCACTTTCACATATCTCTCTGACATATATCTGTTAGCCTACCTATGAATTCCTCGTCATCGTCGTCCTCCTCCTCCTCTCCGTTTTCCGAATCGATCTGCATGGCTTCGTCAATGAAATTGACCGCTTTTCCAGGTCTTGGGGCCGAATTTTGGTCATTGCCAAATGAGGCCTCTTTGGTCTCGCTTTCCTTCAGCTGGGTGAAGTACTGTAATGCAAACTCGAGCAGATCCCTGGGCTGATTCCTCAACACTTCCACGGTAAAGCTCTGTAACAGCTCCGTCAGTCCTTCAGGAATTTCTATACTCATTCCTGTTATCAGTCTATGGATGTGGACAAAACCGGTTTGCTGCGAATCTGAAATAATCAAAAGCATACAGCTGAGATTTAAAAAAAAGTCTAAATTAGGAGACGGGTGTAGTCAGGCCACCCAGTCAGCAAGCCATCCACAGCGGATCCTCTCTTTTTCTTGAATGAAAATGGCTCTGGATTTTTGGTCCAAGCATCTTCTGCTGCTTCTGGCTACAGGAAACCCACGCATGTGACCCAGGAATCCATGGCAACCACCTATCCAGGGATTGCGTATGAGCAGCAGCAGCGCAGAAACTGCAGTCAGTCGCAAAATACAAATTATGGGAAAGAAAAGCCCGCTGGTTTATCAGTCGAAGATTGATTTTCACTGAGAGAGATGGCATGAAATGAAAGATGTCCGTATGGTGTCTGTTGTCCAGGAATACGTTTAAAATGTCTTGTTTTATAGACATGTTTTTTTTAAATTCTGTGTCCATTTGCACAGACCTACAGTGTGTAACTTAGAATAATAAAATAATTCAAAATATGATAAAAATGGGCATATACAATTTTAAAAAATAGATCTAATAATTACATCCAGCAATATAAATATATATAAAAATGTGCTATAATATAGCCTATTAATAAATAGAAAATGATATACACAATCCTTCATTTGGATCAAACAGCTATTATAACGGCTGTAATGTAGCCTAGAAGATGCAGTGTATACATACTGTAAGTCCAGCTCACTTGCAATTTCTCATTACATTTATAAAATGTAATAGTTGTAAGGCAAGGGCTCATTATAGAGGGACTGTCCCTTTAATAGCACCAGCAGTTTAGACCCTATTGCATGTTTCAAAGGGAGAAAAAAAATACAAATACTGTACTATGCTGCCTGAAAGCTTCATTACAGAATGAAACATTCAGTGGGGGGGGGGGGACTAAAACGTGATAGTTAACACACTTTATCTAGTCATATGGAGAGCCCTTTACATAAAAACACTGACAAGTGATGCAGTCATTTTGGTGGGTTTCTGAAATGGTTAAAACCTCATTTCTGGGATATACATGTCGAAGTTTAACTTTATAGTTTTCAGGTTACTCAGCTCAACTTTAAACACAACACAGCAAATCAGGGTGAACCAGGACAAAATAAAGGAAAAGCAA